ATATTAAATATTCATATGTGAAAATACTATTTCTAAATCTAAATGAATATTAAATCTAATTCTTAATAAATAATATATCTAATAATAAAGTTATGTAATATATTTAATATTCCCATCCCTGGTTTTTAACTTTGGGGGATCCCCGTCTCCCGTCTTGTGGGGAATCCCCGTCCCCTGACTTGCAGGGAATCCCGCCCTCTCCGGGTTTCCCAATGGGGCGGGGTTTTTTTCCATGCCTATTGATTAGCAACTTTCACAGTTTAATTGTTATTATGTACTAGCAATCAAATAATTTTGACATTTTAGATAAAACTTAGCATTTTGGGTTTACAAGGTTAGTTTTGTTTAAATAACTTGAAGGTTAAAAAAGGAATTATAGTGTTAATAAATGTTAGTCTTTTTTAAGATTATTTATTTATCAGACCCTGTATTTGCATGTTGTTTGTTTAATTTGTTATGTTTGCGAGTACAAATTGTCTTAAATACAAAACTTTTATCTTCCCAATGTTTTTAACCCCACCAGGACTCTATCATCGACTTTGGTTTATATGAGGGCTTTTTTTCTACTATGTTAGGAGGTTTTTTTTAATCTTCATGACTATTCTGCTCCCACGTATATAACGTACAAGTTGTTAAATATATTTCTTTATCAAAGTTATAGATAGATATATGTTTTCAAAAATACTGTTTCACAGTTTCACGCTTCAGATTAATAAAAAAAATGCTTTTCAATCTTGTCTTCTCCAGGTAACTTTTCGACATTGTATGTTAGATGTACAACCAATTCAAACAATGAAATATAATCCACGAATTGATTTGCTCAAAACTCTTGCCTTATTTCAAATTTGAAAATATGATGGATGTTCTAATGTTTATGGGGTTTCTTTTTAAAAAACCAGAAAATTAATATCCATGAGGAAGAGATCGTCCTTTTTAACCTTTTGTTTTATAATGTTTCTATTGGTATTCTCTGTTTCTTGGATGTCTTAACTTGCAGGCTTATTTGGGGAAATGGGTGAGCAAGATGTTGAACGTCTTCTATGGTTGTATATCTAATTGAAGGTAAGGGTGATTTTCGTATTTCTTTTAGGAGTACTGGTGAAATTATTATGAGAACATTTATTATAAAAAAACATGGAGAAATGACAATAAAAGAACCAACGAGTGTGAAAATATGAGAACGGATGAACTAAATTACAAGAAAAACAAATGGTTTACAAAACTATGTTCTACTTGGTAGAAAAATATTGGACTTCTCATTTTTGCTTACATTTGTTCGATAACCCAAATTATGCATTTCGCTGCTTTGCACAAATATACAACTAGTAGTATAAGGGGCTATTCGGTTGTGGCTTAATGGACTACATAACCCATATAGCTCATTCGCCCAACCATAAGTAGTTGTTCTATTATGGCTTAATCTGAAAATCAATAGCTTATTCAAGTTAGGCATGGCAACGGGGCGGGATGGGGCGGGATGGGGCGAGGTTTGTAATCTCCGGCCCCGGCCCCGGCCCTGGTCCCCGGCGGGTACGGGGATTAACATCCCGTCCCCGGTCAAAAATACGATCAACCCTCGATCATACCCCCAAGTGCAAACACACACAGTCACTGACTCACCGAGTCACACATTGATGATCTTTACTTCATCATTGAACTAAATATATGTAATTCCATTTAAAAACGTGCAGAGGTCCTAATTATGCCCCTAAATATCATTTATCCAGACAAATAAGTAATTAGAAAGAAATGGAAAAAAATTGGCAATGGGTTTAAGCCCCTGACCTCAATGGTAGAAACGGAGAAGAGCAAGATGATAGATGAGACGAGGGCTGTCCGACATCTGTTGTCGAGTGGTCGCTGGTGACTCACTATCGAGTGCCGGCTGGTGATGGTGACAGGCGTGAGGGTCTGTGGAGTGTGGACGAAGAAGAGTAGAAGACGATTGATGAGGTCACGACTCACGAGGGTCGATCGGCTGTAGAATCATGGATTATGTGAGGGTCGACCGGTTGAGGGCTGTTAAGTGTTAGCTGAATAGCTATAGAATCATGGAAGAAGCAAGATTGCAAGCAGCAAGAAGAGTGGAAGATGAGTAGACGACGCACCCCAGGACCCAGGTCACGAGAATATGACAATTGGAATTTGGACATATCAATTACAAAGCACAAGTCCATAAGTCCAAGTTTAAACAGGCCGCACATATCAATTATAAGCCCAAATAGTCAAAATGTTTAATATTTATATATATACCGGGTACGGGGCAGGTCGGGGGATACAATACCCGGCCCCGGCCCCAACCACGGTTTGCCACTACCGGGGATCCCCGGCCCCGGCCCCGGGACCCGTTTTAGAGGGGAATCCCTGGCCCCGTTCGGGTCCGGTGAACCGGGTTCCCCATCGGGTCGGGAAAAATCACCATCCCTAATTCAAGCAGCTAGAGGAAGACTCTTGTTTACATTCAGTCGGCTCTTTTTGCTCACTACCCTGGGAAAATAATGCATCCTCCTCCATAGATCGATGCTCCTCCTCAAGAATACTGCTCCTCGCCTCCTCCATAGATTGATGCTTCTCCTCTAGATTGTTGTTCCTCACCTCTTCCATAGATCAATGCTCCTCCTCCAGATCGTCCTCCTCCTCCATAGATCTATCTATGCTCCTCTTGCCGTCACTATCGTCCTCCTCCTCGCACTCTTCATCTCCGGTGAAAAAACGACTATTGATTTGTTGATGAAATGACCCTCAACCCTCTTCATCTCTGGTAATGAAACGAACCTCAGACCCTCTCAAATCAACCCTCGATCTTTTGCCATCTTCTCTTGTGCCTTCTTCATTTATGGAATCGACCCTATGGTTTTCAATTTCTCCCCATGGGCTTCGATTTGATCATGTCTTTCAATTTCTCCATATGGTTTATCGATTGGTTTTGTTTTCAAAATTTCCCCATGTTTTCAGTTTCTCCATATGGGGTGTTGATTGGCTTGGTTACAGAGAAGAAATCGATTGGTTTGGTGGTTGAACTGGTGGAACTGAATGTTTAATGTAAAATAAAGGGTGAAATAGTCATTTTCACCATTAAGATTGTTTATTCATAATAACAACCTGACAAAAATTATCAAATATCATATAGACAGCTTTATTACTACAGACAACTCTTTATCCATATAAGATTTAATGGAAAATGAACCGGATAGCCCCTAAGATAAATTAAAAAAAAAGATATTTAGATAAAAAAAAATTATTAACCTGGATATACAACCCGCTATGCGAGCCGACTAATCCCAGGGAAACCAATTGCTTTGCAGATAGCCCGGAGTCACCGCATTTGAACCTCCGTGGCCACAAGGGGATTTTTATTTCTCATTGGATTTGAACCTGAGACCTCCTGGTACTTTTGATCTTTGGAGCCAAGCTTAAACCAATCAGGCACCACCCTTGTGGTTTATTTTAGATAAAAATATTAACAACCTTATCTTTGTAAAGATATCAAAAAACAACTCTATTTTTGTAAATAGATCTCAAAGGTAGCATTTAGTATGCATATATGATTAGACATGACTAGACATGACATAACTTGACATGACAAGAGAGTAGAATTGAACATGATTGGACTGGACAGAACAAGTGCATGTCTTGTGTTTGGTACGACTAACACTAGACGAGACATAACTAGACAAGTTACCCCAAAAGTTATTTGATAATTTTAAATATTATATAATAGTTATAATTAACACAAATAAAGCAAATTATTAAAAAATTTAATTTATAAATATTGTTACACAATTTTCATATAAATAGATACATACATATATAATGGTACCAAATATGAATGAAAAATTTGATATAAATGATGGTGGTAGTAGTGGCGGTGGAGGTCGTAGTGTTGGTGGAGATGGTTTTGATTATGGTGGAGGTGGTGGTGGCTGATGATAATAGAGACGATGAACCATGGTGGTCGGTGACCGACAATGGTTATGGAGGTAGAGGCAGTGGTTGGTGGACGATAGTGGTTATAGAGGGCGTGTAGATGGTGGATTGTGGTGGTGGTGGCGGTTGACAAAACGATGGAGAAGGTAGTTGTGGCTGATGTAGTGAAGATAGTGGTGGAGGTGAGGTGACAATGGACGGTGGTGGTCGATGGTCGATGGTGGTTGTAGAGGTCGTGGCCGATGGTGGTTGTAGAGGTGGCAATGGGCAGTGGTGGTCGATGGTGGTTGTGGAGGTCATGGAGGAGGTTGTTGCAGTATAGGAGGAGTTGGAGATGGGCAACGGTGGTAGTGTTGGTGGTAATGGATGGTGGTTGGTGGCTGATGGTGGTTGTAAAGGTGGCAATGGACGGTGGTAGTCGGTGGTCGACGGTGGTTATGGAGGTGATGAAGGAGGTTGTTGTAGTAGAGGAGGAATTGGAGGTGTCGAATGGTCGTAGTGGTGGTGGTAATGGCGGTGGTGGTTCGTGGTCGACTATGGTAAAAGTGGCAATGGACGATAGTGGACGGTGGAGGATGTTGTTGTAATGTAAGAAGAGGTGGAGGTGGGGTGGAGGTGGGGAAGTGGCTGTCAGTGGCGGCGGCAACCGAAACTAGTGGTGATGACCATTAAAACAAATATCATATTAAGGTTATATATCAAATTAGGGTAAATTAGTAATATTTTAGTTTCTGTATTATTCTTGTCCCATCTTGTTCAACTTATTTTGATGAAATAAAAAAAAGTTTTTTTGTCCTATTTTGTCCCAACTTGTCCCAATTCTTGTCCCAATCCCATGTCACACCAAATATAAGACAGTGAATCTTATTCTGTTTCATGTTGCATCAAACAAGAAGTTTTATCCCTCCTCTCCTATCCGGTCCCTTCCACCAAACGCGGCCAAACAACCCTATTTTTACAAATCCAAGAGGCCTATTTTTTTTTTTTTGCAAAGAGATTCTAAGACAACCCTATTTTACAAATTACTCTGGTTTTTTCACGAACGTGGATGACCAGATTCCGACAGCCAATCCATCATACGAGAAATGAAGAGATGCTGTCCCCCGCCGTCGGTAACTACCGCCACCCTAGAACCCATCCGCTCAAAAACCACCTTAACCAATTCCATATCCTCATACTACTCTTCCAAGAAACCTAGAAAACACCTCAAAAAATCCCCTCAAAACCCCAAATGGGTACCCCTCAATTTGAACAAATCAGAGCTCTTTTTGCCCCTTACATTCCCCACCGGCCAAACATTCAGGTGGAAACAAACAGCCCCTTTTCAATTCACAGGTGTTGTAGGCTCCCATCTTGTCTCCCTCATACAACTTCAGGATGCAAATAGTTCTGACGTAGCTTATTGTTTTCACAACACCCGCACCTCCGATCAAGCTGCTGCTAAATCAGCTCTGTTGGATTTCCTCAATATGGGTGTTTGCTTGAGTGACTTGTGGAGTGATTTTTCTGCCATTGATCCACGGTTTGCTGAATTGGCAGAGCATTTAAGTGGTGCCAGAGTTCTCAGGCAAGACCCACTTGAGTGCCTTATTCAGTTTATTTGTTCGTCTAATAACAATATTAAGAGGATCACCCAAATGGTTGATTTCATATCATCACTTGGTAATTATCTGGGTGTGGTTGAAGGGATTGATTTCTATGAGTTCCCGTCTTTGGATCAGTTGTCAAAAGTTTCTGAGGAAGAGCTTCGAAAGGCTGGTTTTGGCTACAGGTTAGACTCTCGGTTGTCAAACCTATCACTTTCCTAATCCATAATTTACATGAATTCTAGTTATTTCTGTGAAAACATTTGCTAATAGATCAAATTTATAGTTTTAGTAACTGATGGTGAATTTGTAACAATATCTATATGAACTTTGCAAATGGAAAGTACTACTTTTGAAATTAGCTACCATTTAGTGTAATGATGTTTCTTTCACTAGTCAGTGTAACAAATGATCAAATTTTCTTATTTTGTACATATTTTGACCAATAATTTTGTAACTAATGATTATCTGGATGCCAAAAGCTGTAAGGTATATTGTACTTCTTTAGTATCTGGAAAAATGCTACATCAAAATCAACCGATACCATGTAGATTGAAGACCAGTTTACAAGGTAAAATGGTACGGAATAGGAATAATTGAAGGTTTGTTACACTAAATTTTTAAAAAGTTCTTGTTGCACTAAATAGGAACTAGGACAAACTTTGTTACATTTTTTCCCTTTACTAATTTGTTCAGATCTTATTGCATTTTTGTGAGTGAGTTGAAATGACGTAAGCGCAAGCCTACCGATGAAAACATGCCATTCGTTGAATTTTCAGTTCAATGGGATTGAACTGAAATTCGCATGAAATCAATTGAAGTATGTTTGAACTTTGAATAACTCTAGCACCACTTCTAGTTCATGGTCTTGGATTTGTCTCCTAGATAGCACCAAATTGATTTTGTGGTATGTCTGTCGATGGCCTAGATAATCACCTTATTCTGGTATAACGATTAATGTAGAATGAAACTCAAATTTCTGATGGCGGTTCACCAAATTGATCTTGACCCTTGATTTTTCAATGCTTTCTTTATCATGTGCGAGCAACTAACCACCCACCAGCTATGCTTTTTTATGGAGTGGTGCAAAATACATAGAAGCTATGCTTGTGTATACTATCTAATCTATTAGCTTGAACCCTTTTTCACCATTTAGAAGTAAAGCTTTATGTGCATTTGGTGACGTAAAAGGTGTATAGGTTTGGAAAGGTAGGTTTGGGCTTGAGAGTGTTTCAATCAAAAAAATATTTTTGATTAAAATGAAGGCCTATTTGTAGTCCTATAATTATCTCATACAAGAACAACATCAAAAACCTTGACATACATCTTGATGGAAGGCAACACTTAAAGAAAGAAACCATGGGATTGATGATAGATGTGTCAATCCATTTAAACTCAAATCTATAACGGTTATATCCATTCTAGTAATTACGATTGTAATGTAGAGGGGGGCTATGACATGCAATTATCTAGTGTCGGTGCTCGAGCGGTGACTATGAGTCTCTGTGTTTAAAGTTGAAGGCCAAAGATTTTTTTGAAAATAGAAAGGGGAATGCATGCATAAAAATGCAAAAATGGAAACCAACAAAATGCCTCCCTAACCCATTTTGCATTGTGTGTTCCCTAACCCATTTTTAGGCTATACTTAATTTCGTTGCTTTTGAATTGATTGTGTGTTCCCTAACCCATTTTTCAACCAAACATTTATATTGAATTTTTGTTTCATAGCCCAACATTACACCCTACCTTGTATATGAGCCCTACCCACAGTCCGATAAGTGTATCATAGTATAGAAGAGGTAAGCAAGTGATCAAGCAGAAAAAAGGGGGGATCGAAAAGGAACAGAAAAGGGGAAGTGGAATGAGAAAAAGCAGACCAAATGGGTCAATTAGCTGTTGCCAAAAAAATAATCAACAAGTAACGCCAAAAGGGGCAATAAGCAGAGTATACATAAGAAGAGCACAAAGTGCGGAGTGTGAAAACACACCAAAGGTGTGATGGGTACGACACAAGAAAGTAATGTGGAAAAGAAAAGAGGCGCTCGATATGCTCATATTGTGATACATTTAGGACTCTTGATTCCTATTCCCTTAGGTTCTTGACACACTACTTAGCCCTGTTGTAACCTATTAAAGACTTGGATAATCTTCTTGAAAATGTGTTGCAGACTAGTTTATGTGTTTACTCTTGTCATATTACTTGATTCCTTCCTGAGATCGATTAGTTTGTGAATTCAGTTCGGCTTCTCAAATTGCGGGAAAACCATCAATCATCCAATTGCAGTATCAATTTCTTTCGTGTGTGTATCAATACCTCCCTCATCCCAAATAAGTGGCATACAATTTGAAAAACTGTTTGACTATTTCAAATATCTAAATGCCACAAGGTAACAACAAATTACTGAAAATTAATGGACCAAAATTAGGTATCCAGAACAGTTCACAAAAAAAACAAAATCTCTAAGTGACAAATCAAAAGAAGGGATATGTGGTGGCAGTCTGTGTTCAAATACGGTTTGCTTATTCTTTCAAGTATATGAAATATTATTATGCTAACTTATCCTACATAAATATCTATTTTTCCTCTACAACCACCTTCCTTGTATGAAATGGTTTTATCTTTCTTTTTCTGCCTCAATATGCTACTTCTTTTCACTGAACGGTACTTTGGTTTTATCTAGAATCTCATCTTTTTTTCGTCTATGATGAGCAGGGCCAAGTACATAATTGGCACCATAGAAGTACTGCAATCAAAACCTGGTGGAGGTGTAGAGTGGCTCGCATCTCTTCGGAAGTTAGATCTTCAAAAGGCAATCGAGGCTCTCATTACTCTACCTGGGGTGGGGCCCAAAGTCGCAGCATGCATAGCTTTGTTCTCTCTAGATCAACATCATGCCGTTCCTGTTGATACGCATGTCTGGAAGGTGAGCTTCTTAATTTTACCCAAGATGTGTTATATGTTCATGCAATAATTGTTTATTGCTTTCAACATTATCACATATTGTCTGCCGGTAATATGAATATAGGCATGATTGGTGTTCGCCTGGGTTATCGGTGACCACTTTTTGTGATCATTAGAAATAAAAGTCGCAAGCAAATCAACGATGTATTTCACTTTTTGTTCAAGTTGTTAAATTTACTTTGATAGTTCATAGGCATAAAAAATTTAACATGGGGTTTTGAATTTTGTTTAAGCTTTTGGAATCAAATTCTGTGGAACATCTGGTTGATCTTTTGAACATCATTAGAGCATCTCCAACAGCTATGCTTCGTTTTTATAGAAATTTTGGAGATTTTGGAAAAGTTTGCTCCAACAGCTATGCTAAACTCTCCTCTAAAATAGAGAAAGAAAAAGAGAGAATGGAGAAATCTCCAAATTTAGAAAAAGAGAGAAAATACAGCATACGTGTTGGAGATGCTCTTGCACATTTAAACTTCAAATATATAGTTTACTTTGGCTACACGACCAACAGCAAGTCTAGTTGTCTTGGTCAAGTGGTTGGGTCTTTTTCTAGATAGCGGTTCCAAGTTCATGTCCCACTCATTGCCTAGTGATTACATCAGTGCGTCAATGTCGGATGACAAAAGTTGAATGTGGTTTATGATTTCTCCTGAACAAAATAACACCACCAATAGCAAATGTACATATAGGTAAAAGTAATTATTTGTAATATATCATTTAGAAGAAATGTACATGACTATATATATTATTACCACTAGGATACCATCTTAAGAAACTTCGTAAAAGTTAACTAGAAAAATAGACCCCATGATCTACATTTAGCTAGGACTCCCCCTCAATCTACACTTAAAAAACATTACAATTCTCAGTTTCATACGAGATTCCCAGTTTAGCTTACGGGGTCAAAGTCTTCTTTGGACTTTTCCTTTTGGGTGTGGGATGCTCATTTAACCTCTGTATTAATCTTGTTCCTTATTTACATTATGATTGTGCATGATTTGCATACAAAATGCCACCTCTGGATGCTCCCTTCAAGCAACACAACTTGTTTTGATGTTGCCAAATGATAACCGTCAAAGATAACATATATTGACTGACGATGTTGAACGAATATGCACATCACTGTGAGATAATTCAACTTTCCAACCAACCATCGCTATCTCTTAGGATCTTCGAAATGTTTATAGTCATTAGAGCATTACAAGGTTTTTCTCTTGATTTTCTTGTCACAATTAATAGGTCAAGGACATTTTCTTCTAAATACGAAGATACCTTTTATACTTCTGGTAACTTCAACTCCCAAGAAATATTTTAGCACCCGTAAGTCCTTTGTCTGAAACTTTTATGAATGAAAGACTTGAGAGATAAGATTCCTATAGTATCACTTCCGGTGATGATAACGTTAACATACATATTTAACCAAGTGAAAGATATTGGGTGGCAGAGGTGATCCTTTAGTTAACGAGAAGGTATCAATTATTTCGATATGTGTGACTCGGTTGCTAGAATCTCCATGATTAGATTGTTGATAGCTTTAGGAGCTATTCACAATCTAGTGATTCACCAAATAGATGTCAAGTCAACATTCTTGAATGGTGATGATAGGGAAAGACACCCAGCCCAAGCCCAATTCTAGATGATCAACCCGGGCGTTTGAAAGGATCAATGGACAAGTGTAGGGCTGATATGAGGGGTTGTTATGCATGCTCATGGGTAGGGAGATACCATAAATACTAATCTGTTAGCAATAGGGAGGGCAAGCAAGAATTATAGTTTTTCAGTAGAGAGTATCGGCTGTGAAAGCTTGGGCAGAGGAAAGGCCATTCATCGACTTCCTTTTGATTTTGTCATCTCTATCTTTTGAATCAAATTATCTAATAGCTTAATCCTTTGTTCTACTTTGCTGTATTGATTATTCTGTTTCCGTTTCTATCAATTTGGTTCCTTTGCTGGGAAACAACAATCAAGGGAAACGATGATCGCTCCAGAGACTCAGGTGAACACCCGATTGCAATCAAGGACTGATGCTCAAGATGGGAACATTGAAGCCCTCTCTAACCAGGTGAAGGAACTATCCTTGTCGATCAACTCTATTAAGGAGATCCTCAATGAATTACCCAAATCCCTGGAGAAACTAGTGACATACTACCAGAAAATACCAGGGCAAACGGCCGATTAATGACGAGGAAGGGGATGCATCAGCATTCAAGGAACCTCCAGGGGATGATAGCTATGACTCTGATGCGAAAACCTCCGGTCGGGGTCTGAACATTTCATCAGAAACAACCATTTCGAGACATCTCTGGTTTCTATGCCAAAGTGAAGTTTCCCTTACTCGAAGGTGTCGATCCCAGGGGATGGATCACCAAAGCCGAGCTCTACTTCCAGGTTCATCTCACTCCGTCTTCTCAGAAACTTAAGCTTACCCTGATGTGTATGGATGGTTCAGCCCTAAATTGGTTCACCAATTCACTAATCAATCACCCTCACACCGACTGAGCTGCTGCCTTTGTTTTCAAATCACCGTGAGCTGCTGCCTTTGTTTTCACCAAGATTGATGACCTTCCAGGGGTATAAGGATTATTTCGACTGATAAAAGTACCACTACATAGAATAGATGGGGCATTGCTTTCTGGGCGGAGAATGCGACAAAAGACGTCTTATGAAGAGTAGAGTTCAGAGGCAGCAAGAACTTTTTGACATGGCTTCAAAATCAAGAGAGAGGTCTGCCAAAGAACTTATAAAATTATCCCTCCCTGTTGCTTGTTGAACTTTCACATCAGGATATTAAGCTTCTTATGTCTTCTTGAACCCCGTAAAGTAGCTGATAAGCGACTAGTCTTAATTTTCTGCACGATAAAAAGTTCACAAACCTCAATGCGGGAGAGTGAGTTTTCTGTTGCTGAAGTACGAAAATTCCGTTAGTTCTAAGAGGGTTTTGCAGTCGGCGGCTAATCCAAAAAGGCTCGAAATTGTTCGAGATTGACAGCTAGAGTTCAAATATGATGACTAGGTCCGGAACATGACTGCCAGGGTTTGAAATTATGACAGCCATGGCGGCTGCTGCGACAGGATGGCGACGGCAGAGGTTTTGGGCCGTGCTGGCGTGCTCTAATACCATGTACAAATAGGTAAAATAATTAGATATAAATATATCATTGAGAAGAAATGGACATGACTATATCTCACTATAGGAAACCATCTTAAGAAACTATATAAAAGTTAACTAGACTAATTATCAAAATTTAGCTAACAACATGAAAATATCCCGCGTCATCAGTTGCGGAAAATGATGTACTTTGTCTGTTTACCAAACGCGTGTTGCAAATTTTATGTGGAAGGAATAAAAGAGTTGGTTACGACATTTCTACAGAAGAAACTTCATTTCCCTCTTTCAAATCAAAATGGATATCAATTTTGTTGCCAATTTTATCATGATGACCTTTTATTGTGTAATATTTGCTATGAAGTTGAATGCAATCAGTGGATACTTTTCTATCTTAATATGAAGTTGAAAGTTGGTTCAATTGACCCCTGTATTCAAACAGTACAGTTCTTATAGGAAGAAATAAGAATGAATTTTCATTATGTACATCGATACAAACTTTATTGCATGAAACATAACTACTAATTATCGTTATCTTTTTGATGCATGCATTGAACCAGATTGCAACCAGATACCTAATCCCCGAGCTGGCTGGCACACGTTTGACACCCAAGCTTTGTAGCCGAGTAGCAGATGCATTTGTGGAAAAATACGGTAGATATGCTGGTTGGGCCCAGACTCTTCTTTTCATCGCAGAATTACCTTTACAAAAGGCACTTTTACAGTCTGTAACGAATGAGAGGAAGGAGGCATCCAAAGACAAAGCACAAAGAGTTGGTAATAAAGATAACATCTGACAACATTGACAATAATATTTAGGAACTATAAATATTTTGAGAACCAAGAAACCAAATATTCATAATGAATATGCATAAATATACATGAAAGGCTCATCATGACTATTTATTCATAATGAATATCATGAATATTTGGTTCTCAAAATATTTATGGTTATCAAATGAACCTGAATAGGACTTTTGGATAAGACTGTATTTTTGTTGCAGAAGAGGAAGGCCCCTAGATGGATGTACGCCTTCAGCCGGTGTTGGATCTTTTTTAATTCCTTGGATACAAATCTGGAGCAATTTTTGGATACGTGATCGAAGGTACTGTACTGTCTTTGTTCAGTCTTCATTCTTCGTGATGAGAAGTTTATCTTGATTATCCATTTCGATGAACCGTGAAGGACAATGATAATCTTTTCGCTCTATAAGTTGCATGCAATTCGTCAACTATTTTATGGGTATTTGATAAAAACAGGATTAGTTCCCGAACCCCATCAATGTATATGTTAAGATTATCAGTAACATGTTTTAAGGGTATTTGTTAGATCAGGAAAATTCTTCACTAAACAACTACCCCTGTTCGGTCTCCTTTGACTTTCCAGGTCAAAGTGTTGATCTTTTAACTTTAAACTTGATTGCCATCTGTTTGAATTCTGTAGAAAATTTCATGAACAATTAAGAATTCTAATGTTAATGCTTTGACAAAGTTACAATGCCTTCTTACATGTATGTGTATATGTATGTACAAAGCTTCTCTTTGCATGTACTAATTGTGGAATGACCCGTCAAGAGAATTAGGGGCCGTTTACCTGGTAAATAAGAGCTTAGGCAATGACCTAGAGTCTTACCCAATAAGTATGTACGACACCAGGTAAATTGTTGCATACAATACTGTTTTGGTGGACTAAAATCTTACCCAGTAAGTGACAATGTTGAATTTTGTTGGTAAGCACTTAACCGGTTAACCATTGGGTAAACGACCCCTTAGTTAAGGGAAACGGTTAGCTTGGTAGTAGACGTAACTGCTCTCTGTCTTTAACCCGTATCTCTTGAACAAATTGGTAATCAGGTTACAAGGTGATGCCAGTTTCTTAATCGGTCATTTTAACCGTTTTTTAATATTTCAAACAAAGTTAACACCAATTAGCTTAATTTTATGAAATTTGTGTTTCAATTAAACTTTTTATTTAGTATTAACTTTTTATCTTCATATTTAGGGCTTGATGTACTGCTTTTCATATGTGAGGTCCTATGTTCAAGTCTTTTATTGTATGTTTTTCTAGAAACATAACAGATTTGAAATTAAACGGTGGCGTCATGAGCCTAAATTTTTTTACACTACGACGGATGAACAATACGAGCCATGATATGCTCAACATTCGGTCCGTCCATAAGACTGGAGGAAAACTATGTCACTGACGTTCAAAGTGCCATTCATATTGTTGGATTCAAGAGACGGAGAATTATGGACATGTTATACCCCATTTTATTCAACTAAGGTATATTGAAGCTACGATTAGGGCAGCAGGACTCGTATTTTGTTCGTATACAATCAACGGAGAAGATTGAGACTACACATTTAATACCGATAAAGTTTCAAATATTGCAAACCAATGAGTTGTTGCTACTTCAACAACTTGTTCTTACTTGAGCTATTTCTTAGGAAATAACTAAGGGGGTGTTTGAGATTTCTTATAAAAAACAACTTATTGACTTATTCTGATGTGACACCTGTAATAAACATTTGTGAGTGTTTGGATAAACAACTTATATCGGTGTCAAACCGGTAATAAGGAGTGTTTGAAGAAGTTAAACTCTTCTGACTTATAATAAGTTGATAAGTGCTTTTGTAGAAAAACATAAGTTGTTTCAAATAAGCAATCACAAACACCCCTTAATTCTTGAAGTTTCTTGTTGGTGTATATCCAAAAGCCAATTATATAATTGTTGTCTGTTCAGACATATTTTGTCATGATATTTTTTAAACAAATGCATTGCCTAATTATTATGTTTATGGTATATTCTGTATTTTAATTAAACGTAATAATAACTTTATAATAATGTATTCTAAAATGTCTGTGATCAAGTATGACTTTGGGTATTGGTTGAAGTAAATACAATAATAATTAGTATATGTAGGGATTTATAAAGAGAGATGAAAATCCACATATGAATAGAATGTAGAAATGTTGTGTATCAGACATGACTCACTATGAGAATGCTGTATTACATGTCATATGAGGATACTGTATTACATCGATATCTGTTTTTTAAGTATATCCAGGAATAGATAAACTAGAAATTGAACATAATGGGGATGACACAACCATGCCTCGTGTCCAATGTGGACATCAAGGACCAAGTATGACAAAATAGACATTGATAAGGATTAAAAGTTTGTTGATTGACTGAATCACTAAATTTTATTCTTTGGAAAATGATGATGTATTGTTAGATGCCATTATTCGTGAATTGTAAATATGTTTTACATTTATTGGATGGGTGTTTCAAAAATTTACCAGAACAAACAACAACATTTAGATGTCATTTCTGAATCTAAGCCAACGGACTCAGCTTGTTGCCTCCACTGTATCCATGCAAATACTCTGAATCCTGTTGACGTCCCAAGCAAGAGATGATATCTTTTTTTCTCCCTGAATTCTAGATACGTTCTCCAACTCATTGGAAGACAAAAAGAATTGTGGAATATATAGAGAGAGAATTGATCTGGATGAACAATTCTTCCAACCAAGAATTCCCATCTTCTGACAACAGGCCTCCATTTATATAAGTCTAATGATGGTCCGTATAATAAATAAGTATTGTAAGTACCATGTCAGGAATAGTGGTCAATGCCTTTAGAAGATCTCATATATTCTAAAAGGCATGCTTGTCCTTTTTACACATATTTTATTTGGCAAGCCACTACTTACTAATTCTTATTCCATGTTTGTCAAGCAAACTAGTATTTATCTGATTATACTTAATCCGATTAATATAACAAAATAAGATACACTAATTAAATACTTTAATTATTTATTCTCTTTAATCAGATGTACATTTTATGCGTGTGACCCGTTGGGACTTTATCATGTTGGCAATAATTATAAATCATATTTATAATTATAAACGAAGAGTGCACATCTAGCAATACATCATTATTAACCAAATGATAAAATTTGGTGATTTACCTAGTCACCAAACTATGTGATCATTATCAGTATACACATTTTATATCCCTTTGTCCTTGATATCCAGATTGAACACGAGGCATGGAAGTGTCATCCTTGTTATGTCAGATCATTAGTTTCTCGATTCTGGAATATATAAATAAGACATATATTAGTATCCTATACTGACTATCTGAGCATGCATGCATTTCCTCAGTACTATTAAATCGAGGGGTTCAGGGATGTCACTCTTATTCTGATTCATGCCAGTTTTACCAAGTGATACATGACATATCCAACAATCATTTTGTCATTCAGTTACAGAATGATTAGTATCAGTTATCAAAGTACACCATTCACACAGAACAAACTCAATGATCTCAAGTCAAAAGATTATATGTACAACGTCCACATGAGAAACATCTATGACACTGGTATGACATTCAATGTAATGTTCTCAAGCAAGTCATGTCTGATATACAAGATCCCATCTTATAGCTATATATGGTTTCTATATCTCCATATAAATCTTTGCATATACCAGTCATACCATATTAATTCAACATAAACACGAATTAATATTTGACTATGGACATTTTAGAATACAATTATTCGAAGATCATTATTATGTTTAGATATAACACCAAGTAATATGTAACAATAATAATTGTGCATGCCTTTTACTAATTATCACGACACATTGTCCCAATAGAATCATCTGATGATTGGCTTTTAGGCATATAGACTAACATAAAAGGATGCCTTGGGGGTAAGTTTTGAAATACACGAAAAAATCCGAAAGCCTTGAATCCTCTTCTCTCTCCAACATCGACTTCTTCTTATTGTGTCTAGCAACACAAGAGGGTAGAAGACAACTCCTACATCAACTCTGCTCCTCGGAAGAAGAACAACCCCGCTCTCTAGCCGACTGGTCCCGTTGATCAAAGGTTATCCAATGATAATTTAACATTCAACTCAATATTATTTTCTGACGTGACTAGTGATACAGACTTTTTTCAATATAAAGTTAGTTTTAAAATTTATTTATTTTATTAGAACTTGTATATATATAATTATCTATGTGAAATATATAATTTACAAATAATTAAATATATAAATTTTAATAAAATAAATAAATTCAAAACTACTTTTAAATTTTAAAAAATCCATGTCATTATCTACATCAGCAATGATCAAGTTAGATGTCATATCATTCATCATGTGAGCATTGGTTAACTAGTTAATGTTTAAACATTTTATCTGTGTACTTAAATGTTTGAAACTTCAGGTACCAAAGCAAAAAGTTTTGAAAATACGTTAACTAAAATATGAATCAAAGAAAAAATACGCTACTTTTCATGTAATTTACTCTAATATATTATATGTCAATTTCTGTATATTTATTTTGTACTTGTTGCATTACCATACATCAAAAACCTTATATTTAGCTTAATGTTATTTAAATATTGTATACATATATAGGGTATATTTCAAGTGCAATCATGTCCATTTGTATAACCACTACAACCCCATTAATTGAGATATTTATGGAAATGATGAGAGTTCAATTATTATGATTCGAATATTTATGGAAGATGACTAGAGTGCATTAATTATGATCAATACTTTATATTAGGAAACATTCAAAACTTTTATAAAATCACATATTCATCAAATTAAATGGATGGTTGAGATTGAGTTGTATTGGTTGTACAAATGTAAAGTGTTGCATAATAACTCACCTCTACATATATATTGTATTATATATATAGAGGAGCGATCAAATGAAAATCACTCTAATTTGTAAAAACCATAAAAACTACTCTCATCCATCGTTAATCTTATGAAAAATTTTCATGAAATTGTTAATCTTGTGAAATTATTTCATATAATACTTTTTTTGATGAAGTTGTTCCATATGTGGTTATGAAATTGTTTCATATACTACTTAATGAAAATTTAATGAAACTGTTTCATGTATTTCTCTAAAATTAAAATAATGAAGATGATAATATCCATGATCGAACACCCTCCACAATAAAAATGGTTAATCAACCTCTCATAATTACAAAAAATTGACCAAAATGAAAAATTATGATTGGTTGAATGAGGTTTTCACGGTTTTTTACAAATTGAGTGGTTTTTATTTGAACATATATATATATATATATATATATATATATATATATATATATATATATATATATATGTTATTTCCGCCTCAAGGCTTACGCCTCAGACCATCTCGAGGCTTATGCCTTGCTTCACCAGGGGAAAACGCCTCGAGGCTCGATTCCAGTTTTTTTAAACCTTGACTCTAAATATTATATACTTCAAAAAGAGCCCATCATGGAACTTTTCGGGATTCGCCATCTTTGTCGAAATGGGCATACAACTACCATAACATAATAAGTAGAAGAAATCCAAATAAATAAGTTGCAGGCTACCTTTATTATTTGTAATGTGGCCATGAACTATGGATTTAACAGTAGGAGTCCTGCTAAAGGTTTGAGACAAATACAACCCACAAATGTGTTTCAACATCATATTCATCAAGGAAAGCTCCATATGAACCTGCTAGGCTTGGGGTTGTCCATATTAGCCGGGGGGCCAGTTCATTTGTCGTCCCCCAAAAAGGTGAACATGAAGATGGTAAACAGATTGACCTGCCAAAAACAATGTTCAACACTTAAAAAGGTTGTTTGACAGTTGCTAAATGCTTTGGTGCAGAATGATCAAGAGGCTCTTATAATATAGTGAAAAATGAAATATAATTGTTTGTTTAGGATGAAATTAAGGTGCTGAATGGTTAAGGGAGGCACAAAGTACAAAATCATTCAGAGAGTTTTAAAACCATTAAGAGGCAGACTTTTTTTTGCCAAACAAGGTTCACTCTTAGCGATTCAGAGGCTGCCTCTTGATGGAATGATTAAGAGGTAAATCCCATCTTTGAAAGCTAGAAGAAAATTCAGTAAATATTTTGAAAACCAAAGTATTCATCATGAATATTCGGTTGTCATCCGTACATCCATTTGGACCATCGTTGATGACAATTCTGAATCCTTCTTCAAGACCTTCTTGCTTTGCTACAACCTTTGCAGTGTAGAGAAGATGGCCAAGAATTTCACAATGCCTCTCCTCAGCCTACAACAATCACATGAATATTAATCACAAGCCTGAAACACAAGTTTAATACAAGTTTTTAACTATTAATCACAAGCCTGAAATACCCTTCAGTTATGGTAAAATATGGGGAATTTTGTAGACCAAAAGCAATAGCATCAATAAATTGTAGCAGCATGATACACACTAGACAAATTGCAGTAAAATTGAGTATTATTACGTAGCAACTGAATGAACAGCAGACACTTATCGATCCCACCCTCACCTTCATCCCCCTTAATTATACTAATACCCACCAAGTTACTTCCCTTGTTTCACTTGTACTAATGCTATAGCCACTTGTACCAAAACACATGGTTTTAAAAAGTGTTCGAGGTGTATGCCTCGAGGCATGCTTTGAAGTGAGGCGCTGGAAAATCGAGTTTGAGGTGGCGCCTCTCTTGGGTTAATTGAGCCGTACGCCTCAAGCCACTGAGGTGGACCTTGAGGCACGAGGCGGTGCTGAGGCGGGGGTTAGAAATTAGGGTTTAGAAATCGATTTACTGATTTGACTTTTTATAAAATAAACCCATTTCTTGCTCGTCTTCTCCTAGTTTTCATTTGTCATCTCCAACTCCCAATTTGAAGAGCATCATGTATATATATTTCATTTGCTCAACTGCTGTTCGATTTTTGAAAGAGTGGATATACTAAATGATGTGGATTCAGATGCTGCGCCTGTAGATTGCAATTAGCTCGTTTAGTTGTTTATGGGCTTTATAAACTCTATTATTATGTTGCTTGTGTGGTTTGAACTATTTGACTTGACATGTATTAGACTATGTTGCTTGTGTGGTTTGAATTGTTTGACTTGACATGTATTAGGCATACAAATTTTAAGTGTTCGACGTGATATATATATATATATATATATATTCGTATTTATTTTATGACCATATTTTATTTCACCGCTATTTCATCGCTATAACCGCTATTTCCGCTACCAACCACATTAACTGCTTAGCTTAAAAGTCTAAGTGTACACATGAAAACTATGGGTTCTATACCCAAGAGGCACACTCCTTGAAATGGGTGCTACACAGAATCTGTAAGCAGTTTACTAAATATTGTAATACTAGGATGCAGTCATGCAACTGTGTTACAGTAACATAAACTGCCATTTACTGAATATCGAGCCACTCTCAAATAAAAATGTTCATTAATCAATCAATCAATGATAATAAGTCTATTTTGTTGTTCTCTAGAATGTATTCAGTCATTCTCTAGCAATCTTAATTCTAAAATACAGTTAACATGGAATTTGGATATGCCTACAAAAAGTTACAAATAAAACTACATTATTTTCATATCTAATGTGTGGAGGTTAAAGATTATCATATTTGTATCCTTAAAGAAGCGCCATACATTGCAAATGTAGGATAGAGTGGCTGATTTATCCAAAATATTAATGGGGATTTTAGTAGGCTAAACATTCCTGCATAAGAATTATAATCCTATGCTAGCTTAACAACCCTCATGCTTTCTACTTATTTTCTTGCTTCGTATCTCAAGAAAGAACCATTGTACTTTCATTTATGTCATAAACATATATGACTATGTGTGAATATACTTAATTACCTTAGACAGACCAGTCAAGCCATCCCTAACTTTTGGAATTAGCAAAATGTGTGTTGGTGCTTGAGGCGCAATGTCCCGGAATGCAAGAACCTACAAAGAAGAGGAAATATTGAGTGACATATGAAATATGAAGAAAAAAAGAACATGGCATAATGCACTTGGATATAGAATCGACAATATCAAGAGCAACATGAGTTGCAACGAGTCAACGAACAATAATGATTACAATGTGTAATCTAGAAGCTACAAAACCATACCAGGCATGCATGCTGAATTGCTACAACACGTGAAAATTCCAAGCACATCCGCTTATTTGTTTATAAAGTACAAGGCCGAGGTTACACTTGGCGCTGAACATGCATCTTCATCACTTACCAATCACAAAATGAAGATATCAACTAAGGGGTTATTTGCCACGTGCTGAATGTTCTGATGCAGAATGATTTAAGTGGTCAAAATGATAAAGAGACTATATGATATAGTGCAGTATGAAATATGGTTGTGTGGTAACAGTTTTGAATGGATGGCCTGAATGACAACAAATTACCATTTTAACCGTCTGTATGATTTAGTTATGGAAGAAATATAGTTGTTTGGTAAATATCTGCACAAAACAATTACTTTGCAAATATAAACTACATACTCAATATTACTCACTCAAAACATTTCATATTAATCCAAACAAGCATAACATTACCGATGTAATTGAATCAAGAATTACACTAGTGAATTCATCAGTCGGCTGTTGGTTTGTTTTATTTTCTTTCGAGAGGGAAACACTCTCCAGAATTCAATTACAAAATGACTGAATCAATATTCCAGACATCTTTCCTCCATTTATCACTCCCTCACCTCCACTATGATTTTGTTACAAAGACACAGATCCCTAACAGAATAAGGAATAATGGACAGACCACTAACTCATAGAAAAAGACTGAACTACCCTTTGTTCCTCCTAGAGCAAGTATACTTAATCGCCTTTGCATCAATACCCGCCCGCCAAAGCTGCACCTTGTCCTGAAGGTGAAAATCGGGAAAACTTTGGTGTATGAGTTGATAATCTTCCCATGACGATTCAAATGTTGGCAGCCCTTGCCACTTGATTAACACTTCCAGTTCTCCTCCCGCCTTAATTCTACATTTCAGCAAAGATTGTGGTGTCACTATCAACTCTCCTTCAGTCAGTTGAGAAGGAAGTTCTCCTGTCGATAGACATTCACCCAACGCCAGCTTGAGTTGAGAAACATGAAAAACTGAATGAATCTTTGCTGAATGTGGCAAATTCAATCTGTATGCTACTTTGCCTACCCTTTGTCACTTTGAGTGGACCACAGAATCGAGCAGAAAGTTTCTGATTGGCTTGCGTTTGCAACGATCGTTGTCTACATGGCTGTAATTTCAGAAAAACCCGGTCACCCACTTCGAATTCCCTCTTTGTTCTGTGTCTATCTGCTTGGTCTTTCATACGCTACTGGGGTTTCAACAATTGCAGCCTAAAATCATCAAGGAACACATCACTCTCCTTAACATGTCTTCTACCGTTTGTAAGCTCGCCGATCCTTCACAGTACTTTAGGATTGCTGGAGGTTCTCTCCCATACAACACTTGAAAAGGGGAACATTGCAACGATCGATGGAACGCTGTATTATAGGAGTATTCGGCCCATCCCAACCACTGCTTCCATTTCTTAGGGTGTTCCGAAACAAAACACCTCAAATATTGCTCTACACAACAATTTACAACTTCGGATTGGCCACCCGTTTAAGGATGATATGCCATTGAACATGCTAGCTTTGTCCCTAACAACACATACACTTCCTTCCAAAAACAATAACAAAAATCTTGTCTCGAACCGAAACAATTACTTGCAGTACACCATGGAGTTTTATAATTTCTTTTGTGGAAATAGCAGCCACTCATGGAGCATCAAATGGGTGTTTTAAAGCCATAAAATGAGCATATTTACTCAATCGATCAACCACTACCATGCTTGTATCCATCTTATCCGACTTCGGTAACCCCTCGAGAAAGTCCATGGCAACTTCATCCTGTACGTTCAGTGGTAATGTAAGGGGTTGTAACAACCCAGCCGGAGATCCTCCTAAAGTTTTGTCCGCTGGCAAATTTCACAACCTTTCACGAACTCCTTTATATCCTTATGCATTCCCAGTCAAAATAATTAAGCGGCTATCTGTTGAAATGTTCGATCAATACCCGCATGGCCGCCAACCGAAGAAGCATGAAATTCCTCCAATAACGTCTTGAGAACAAATGATGACTTTGAAAACACCTATTTGCTTTTGTACCACAGCAAGGACTGTCGTAACTCGAACCGTTTATGCACGGTACTTCCCTCCTCAAGTTCGAACAGTATTTTACCCAACACATCATCCTTCTGAATCTCATCTTTAAGTACATCCCATTGCCTCCATTATGGACCACCCGTTACCGCACATTCAACCTCCATTCCGGACAAAGCATCCGCCGCAAGATTATGTTTGCCCGCCTTGTACATGATGTAAAATCATAATCCAACAATTTCATCACCCACTTCTGATATTGATGATCTATGACTCGTTGCTCAAGCAAGTACTTCAAACTCTGTTGGTCTGTGTGGACGATAAAGTTTCTTCCTAATAAGTAGGCCCTCCATTGTGTCACTGCAAAAACGATCGCCATTAATTCTTTTCGTAGATAGGTTTTTGTCTAGCTTGTATCCCCAATGTTTGGTTGTAAAATGCTATGGCCTGCTCTCTTGCATCAGCACTGCTCCTAAACCTCCTCGTGAGGCATTTGTTTTGATGACAAATGGTTGATCAAAATTGGGTAATGCTAATATCGGTGCTTCCGTCATAGCCTTCTTCAATCTTTCAAAAGCCGCTTGGGCAGTCTCACTCCATTCAAACTTACCCTTCTTCAACAAATCCGTCAAGGGTTGAGCAATTTGGCCATATCCTGCCACAAATTTCCGGTAATAACCGGTTAAACCAAGAAATCCACGCAACTGAGTGATACTTTTCGGTATTGCCCATCGTAGCATAGAGTCCCCCTTTGACTTGTCCATTGCTACCCCTTCTCCCGAAATGATATGGCCTAGATACCATACTTGTTGCATTCCAAATTCACATTTCTTTTTGTTAGCATAAAGGTGATAAGATTTCAACACCTCCAATGTTTGCCTCAGATGTTCACCATGTTCAACTTCTGATTTACTGTAAACCAATATAACATCAGAAAAACTAACACAAATCGTCGTAAATATGGTTTAAAAATATCGTTCATCAAAGACTGGAAGGTTATTGGCGCATTCATCAGTCCGAAGGGCATCACTAGAAATTCATAATGTCCCTCGTGCATCCTAAACGATGTTTTGTATACATCTTCGTCTTTCATCCGATCTTGATGAAAACCCACTTTCAAATCCAACTTCAAAAACCAACTCGCACCCTATAACTCATCCAACAACTCATCGGTGATAGGAATAGGAAATTTATCTGGAAACTTTTCCTTTTTTACCAACACAGGGCTTGAAAACGAACTTCTGCTATGTTTAATTATCCCTGCCGATAGCATTTCTTTGACCAACTTCTCAATTTCATTTTTGATATTGTGGGTAATGGTAAGGCCGAACATTTATCGTTGAACGCCATGCTTCAATTCATTTGTGTTCACTACCCCTAACCGGTGGGAGTCCTTGTGGTTCTTTAAAAACATCACCAAATTCCTCCACAACATTTCGAACAGCTTCTGGACATTCATGACTGATCGTCTGCAAGTCCATTTGGCTCAACTCAATAATCACCCCCTGACCCTCTGCTTTATGGTCTTCATCATAGACTTCAATGAAACCTATGTTCTTCCCAAGAACTCATCTCTTTTCAACTTAACTTGTTCATTTCCAAACTGAAACTTCATTGTTTAGGTACTCCAATTCACCTGCATCGTTCCAAGAGATTGTAACCACTGAATTCCTAATATGATGTCCAAGTTACACAACTCTAATGGTAAGAGTCCTCAAAATTTTCTAAACCCTGCATCGTTTATCTTCCATTGATGCCATTTAAGTGCATCACCTTCCAATGAAATCAATGTCAACTCCATTTTTCCTTCATTACCTAATCGATTCAAAGAGAAATACCATTTTGCTCGTATGATCCATGAATCGGAATCAGTACTCTAAACACCGGCATCTCCAATCGTCTCCCCTTGATTGCCAGAAACGACTCATGCTCTGGTAGTTATTCGTCCTGTGTGGTCACCTCTCTCCATCCATCGACGTTTCCTCTCCGTTTGATCATATGTCTCCTCTTGCCATCGAATTAGGGTATTCAATTGCTGTGAAACGTTGTTGTAATTCTCCTCCACCGATGCAAATTTGGCCTCAATTTCATCCATTCTAGATGTAACCGATCTCGTCATCTTCCCAAGAATGTTGCTTTGATACCAATTGATGTAATTGAATCAAGAATTACACCAGTGAATTCATTAGTCAGTTGTTGGTTTGTTTTATTTCCTTTCGAGAGGGAAACACTCCAGAATTCAATTACAAAATGACAGAATCAATATTCAAGACATCTTACCTCTATTTATCACTCGCTCATATCCACTATTTTAAGTCTTAATTTATGTATTGTATTCAAGTTGTTTTTGTTGTATTTATCTTTTGGTATAAATAGGTAGTTTGCTTTAGTTTCTTGTAACTTTGGTAACTCTTAGAACTTGTAATCTCTTGTAACCTTTGAAGTAATACAATCTAAGCTTTGAAGAACTTTCTCTCTACATTCTAATATTCTGCCATTGTTGATTTCTCATGATCTTGATGTTATGATTGTTTGATTGTGAATCTGGGATTATCACATTACAATTTTGTTACAAACACTTAGCAAACTAAGGGATAATGGACACACCATTAACTCATAGAAAAAGACTGAATTACCCTTTGTTCCTCCTAGAGTAAATATACTTAATCGCCTTTGCATCAATTACTTGTTCAAGTTTTACATCAAATAAAAACATAACAATCAAACTCAACATAAAATCATTAATCAATAATTCAATAAAAAAAAGCTAATCACACAAGGAGACAAAGAAAGATAATATGGTAGTTGGAAAGCTGAACATATTTTGTTGTGGACTTAGGAATAAGATCATTATTTTAGGCTCCAGCCTTCTAAAATTGTCTACAAAGAGGTGCAACACATATAGGTGACCTAATACACTAATGCCACTAGAGCTCCTATACTATCTACACCACGAATCAACACAGAATCTCAAGTTCTCAACCCTGCCAAATTGAAGAGGATTCTAATACCCATTTTATATGCTCCAAAAAGATAAGAAAAATATGCAAAATGTTTGAAAAATCTTACTTATCAAGTTACATAACGAAACTGTTTATGAAGAGCCATACAGAATATAAGAGAGTAACACAAACAAAACCTTTATAAAGGCTACAACATCTTAGGTACTATGATGAACCAATTAAATCCTTCTTACAGGCTCTCCAAAAAGGCTCTAGAATCGGTGTAAGAAAAAAAATTGCCAGAAGGAAGCTATATATTTAGGAACATGTTGACAAGATTATGCCAATCATGTTAACATAGAAAGATTCTTATTACAGATACATAATTGATGTCTATCAGTATTTAACAAAATGCCAAAGTACTTAAAAACGTTTCAACCAAATTTGTAACAATTGATGGTTCAACGAGATTAGTACGTTTCAATCAATGGGTTGTTGAAGAAGCAAACAAATCTACACTAGGAAAAATCAAAATACAAAGAGGAAGAAATGACCCTCAAACAGATCTGCACTAGAAGCAATCGAAATACAATGTGAAACAAAGAGATGTAAGCATCACATAAATAAATTTTTGTTCGACACAAATACTCAAACACATCATGTGCATTAAACTGTAAAATCCCAATGAATAAATCTTCTAGACGTTAGACTAGAAATCAGGAATCACAATTACAAATTGGAACACAATGGAGTAATCAAGACTATAAACACCGTTTAACTACCACATCATAAAACCCACCCCACCGTGTTGGAGAAGCAACATAGAAGAAGCATTAAAATTGAGCAAAGATGTAAAATCACAAAAGCAATATAGTAAGGCATCCTAAAATTGATGGTAAGAAATTCAAAAGAAGAACAACTGAGATACCAAATAGGAGACGAGAAGCAAGGCAACTATGAAAAGTTGAGAGCAGCAAGGCAGAGACGACCAAAGAAGGCGATGTCACGAGATGTAGGAGATGAGATGCAACGATGTGAGGAAGAGAGGTGTGAGAGTAACATCGTGAGAGGAGGCGTGAATTGAAGGGTAGTCAAGGAAAAAAGCGAACTCTGAATGGTTTGGGTTGGCCCTAGATGTAAAATCGCTCAGAGGTATTTGGAATCATTCAGATGTTAATTTTTTTGCCAAACAAGATTCTCCTCTGAGCAAATTAGAGGTTACCTCTTAATGGCATCATTAAGAGGCTAACAAACAGCCCCTAAAGCATTACATAAAAGTGTTATTGTAACAATATTCTGATTATGTCGGTTTCATTTAACAAACATCTAAATGTAAGATAGAAAACAACACCAATTTAGTCATATGAAACCCAAAAGCTCATCAGGCACAAAAGTTCACCTTCAAAAAAAAATATAGGATACACATGCATCCATGCCGTACTTATGGTATTTCCCTACAATATAGAAAAGATGAAGCCCATGACTGCCACCAGACAATTAGAAAAGCCTCCACCTTCCAGCTCAAAGCAAGTTTCAAGTCTCACCACCATAATCAATGTTAAATAGCATCCAGATACTTCTATTATTATGACCCAAAAAACCTACTCACTTGCTTGATCCTCAGCATCATCAATCCTTTTTGTATGGCATATTAATTGCAGGCTGCTGTTAAAGAATTCTCTCCTAAGTTTTTTATAGGTCCTCAAATCTTTTCATAATCTTGTAACAACTCCATTCTCTCTCTTTGCTGAATTTAGTGGATTGATATCTGTTAAAAGTTCTCAATTTTAGCTCGTGTTCTTTTTCAAGTTTAGTAATGGAATCTCTAACTCCACCACTGCTTCAATATTCTATCAATTTATAGTTCTTTGGCCCATGACTCCATTTATGGATCATACATCCTTATTTCCATGTAAAGGATCCTCGACTCTTTGCTCTTAGCCTCAAGGCTCAAACCCATGGAGGACACCCCTCAATCATTGCAAATAGCTAGTCTTACATCACCATTTCATGTTTCATATTTAGACTCGGAGATATTTTTTTGATCAGCCAATAAAAAAGCTACTAGGTCAATATTCCAATTGGATTGTTTGATTCTTTTTATTATCAGCCAATAAAAGCTACTCTCTCTCTCTGTATATATATATATATATATATATATATTATATACACTGTTTAGGAGGCAAAGTTATCTTTTCAATTTAGTCTGCAGAATGCATTATCAATTTTATAGTGATGAACAGTCCCTCCCCCACGGCAGGGAAACTCGAGCTTCCCACTTTACTAAGTATTAGATGAAGATCTGTGGAAAGAGTTTCCTATTCACACTCTTGTATCTGTAACCTAGTTAGCAATGTACCCTACCTGTCCCACCCTGTGGCACTTTTGCTCTCTTTTCTCACAAGTCAAAATGCAGACAACCTCCCTCTCCCTTTCTCTTTCCCTCTCCCGTATCACGAATAGGCTACACTTGAATTTGGTAATCTGGAATTCCAGTTAGCTTTTTTATTTCCTTGCATATGTGTAAGACCGAATCCATTCAATGAAAACGTGACTAAATTGGTCCTAGTTACTCGGACCTGTTCTAAAAAGTCAAGGTACTTCGAATTGTTTGTTGACACGGCAAAAAAGGTGCCAAACCTTCCCATCAGTGTGAGCTCTTGGGGAAGATCAGCCTGCCATCCCTTGATTTCGCTTCAATAGCTCCTCCTACCTCTCCTTCTTAACAAGTGTTACAAAAATTTGTAAGTACTAAACCCTCCATCTTCCCTCTGTCTTAAGCATCCAATGTCTCTTGTCTAGAAGCTTCAATGGAAATGATTGCCAAACTTATCTTTAAGGAATGATAGAACAGAAAGAGCAATTCATCAAAAATAGCAATCGAGGTAAGGAAACAAAACCCATAATGAATAGAGTAAATAAAGGTTCCAACCAATAAGAGTCTCATATGGCATTGTTATTTGGATGCTTAATCAAAGATCTTACAACCACTTTGAAGAAGGTTGAATCTAAGTATGTATAAATTGATCATAGAACACATGCTGTGATTTCAAAATAAAAATCCCAACAATTTAAACTCAATACAGTAATGTACTACCTTATCATCCTCGTAAACCACATTTGCTGGTATTTGCTTGTTAATGATCTTGTCAAAACTGTAACATAAAACAATGTAGGCTTATATAAAAAGATTTCAATATGAGATGGCATAACACGATACAGATACTGAAAAGTCATATCATGCAGTTAACAATTTTAAAAATTAAAAATAAAAGATGTTAACGCTGCCGAACAAGCAAAAGAAATGTGTAAGGCTTATGTCAATATAAGCAATGAGGTGATGTGAAGTTAGAAGGCTACGAACACAAAGGCAATACACCATAAAATTAAATTCATGGGTATCAACTACCAACAAGACAAAAATAAATGTAACTAACATAAGCTTTAATGCATAATAGGACCAGGTATTCAACACGCATTGTACCTATTTTCGATTTAGTTCTATATATGTAAGCCCCTATATTATCTTAACTGTGTGGTTGACGTTATAGCAATCACATGCTTGTCAAACGATCAAAGTCAAAAAAGAATCATTTAAATAATTTGTCAACAAAATAATAATTATTCAAACAAGAAACTAGAGAAACTGCTAAGCATTAATTCTTCCACTTCACAATTCCCGGATCAGTTAAAATTGCAATTCAGAGGAACTCTATAACATCAAGGAAAGATGCTCGGTATCAGTGAGATATTATTCATTTGCAATTCCTGGATCAGTTAAAATTGCAATTCTAGCATGATGATATGTAGTTGTAGGCCATGGTTTTGATGGATGAGATAGATACACATTGAAAGTTGCAACGGATGGAGAGCATGAAGAATTGGGGATTGCAAAATGACAAGCCTCATGGCATTTTCTTTTGGAGTATGTGATGTATGGCCTTAAAGAGGAAGGACAAGGACTCCTATTCTGTTTCTGGTTAAGCGATTATATGTGGTAACAATGTACTCATATCGAAGTTAAGAACTTATTACAGTTATACTGGATGGATGATGGCAATATCAGTTTCTTGAGTAAATTTCAAATTGCTCATTTCAAAGGGGCATGAATAAATAAAACATATCATTTTCAAAGTTATATTGACATATTAGATCCTTGTCAAATCAAAATATAACAAAAGTTATGCCACTTTGTAAGCGGCAAAACACTAATTTAACAAAGGGTTCACGGATCATCACATCTTATGATCTCTTGACTTATCCATGCTTGTTGCATAGACAATACAATGATTTCCTTTTGGCAATTGAAGAGTACAATTCCTGTTAAGGATACCCATTCATACATAAACTGATGGTGGTTATCCCCAATTCTCGCAACATATAAGTGAATCCAAGTATACGAGAACCACCATTCACTTAGAAACAGAAACTTATGTTGCACACATATAGACCAAGCGAGTAGGTCAGAACATCCAGTTCATCAAAATATCATGATATTGAGCCTCATTGCAAACAAAACAAATTAGCCTCCACAATCTGATCCCATATTTGGTGCTCTACCTCAATTTGATTCTCGATTATAAAATGGGGTATCTTCAACCTTAATATTGTTGAGCAATTTATTTTTCTTTTCATTCTGTGAATAGATCTATAATATATTAAAGGAAGGTAACAAGTAGGAGAAGCCTTTATAAAGTAATACCAAAACCCATGTCAATTTTACATTTTGGACAACACCAAAACCTAAAGCCATCCCTTTTCTCGAATGTAGTATAAAACACTTATCAAAAATGTTCATCATACAATCAAACAACTATCAAGATGGGAAAACACAGAGAAGTACATAACAACCGAAAACGTCGCTTCCGACGAAAAACATTAGCGAACTAATCTATAAAAACCGATAAACAGGTTTATATAAACAATTATCCAGCATCAGTAGATGCATATTCATTGAGAAAAGATACGCATACATGGTTGGAGAATCGGAGGGAACAGCAGCAAGAGCGGCTTCTTTCTCGGCCGCCATGGCAGAAGGTTCTTGATGAGCACCAGTAATGTGAGAGTTGAGTACCTGCAAACGCATACGACTACTCATTCATATGCCGGACCGTGTAATATTGAGAGAGGGGGGGGGGGGGGGGTGGTTTATTTTTCAATTTAGGGCAAGTTTGTTTTTTGAGCATAATAGTGTTTGAGATCAAGCAATTTTTTTAAAATTTATTGAAATTAGTTAAATGAGTAGATGATCACATTTATATATTAAATTAATTAGAATTAATATTACTTGTGGTATATGAATCACACTTATCATTATTAGTTGTTTTTTTAATATTATATATATATAATTATTAAGTCTTATATATTAATTTTTTATTATATCAAACTTTGTGATTGATTCATAATCATAAAAAAAATACGTGAAAATATTGATTATAATCATGAAGTATATTAAGAGAATTATTTTACCATAATACATATCAATTTATCTTCTACATATATTCTCATAAAATATTTATATTCACCAAGCAATAATTGTGTTGTTATTACATTTATATAATTGTTGAATATTTTTGCAATTTTCTTATATTAGTTCATGATATGCTCATTTGCAACATTGGTCAATAACCTCAATGAAACCACTTTTATCCGACATGCGATTGTAAAAAGTGAAATTAATAGTTAGTATTATGATCATTCTAGATATATAAGAGTCTGATTGATTTGTTATTTTTTCATTTGACTTGTTCAAGCTTTTTAAATTTGTTTTAGAGAGTTCATAGTTTGGTTTATTTATAAAAGGAAGAATTGCTCAGATACCAGTGAGTGAGGCCTATTTGGGTGCTAGGATTGGAAATCCTGTATTTTACATATCCATACGATTGAAATCCTGAAAATAGAAGTTTTAATAAAATTATGTAAAATAAAAGATATGTATTATATTGAATTTCATATTTTAAATATAGGGATGGAAAAGTCTTTTACATATATCAAATATTTTAAAAAATCAAAAATCTAAGAAAAAAATGGGTTTCTAATGTTTAAAGGATAACACTTCATTATGTTTGGTTTCTTCTTTAAGAATTAAAAATATTAGAAAATAATTTCTAAGCTCAATGCAAAAAAAGAAAAAAAATTACAATAGACCGATCAACATCAACAAAAACTCATATCATATTTGTTTTCATGAATGACGACTCAAATCAACAAAAAAAAACAAACCACATCCTCAAAAACTGAATAAAGAAGAAGAATTGGGAGATTATTATACTAAAGGGGTGTTTGGGATTGCTTATCAAAACGACTTATTAACTTATTTCAGTCTGGTACCGGAGATAAGCAGTTTTTTAGTGTTTGGGTAAAAAAAAACTGCTTATACCGATGCCAAACCGGTAATAAGCAGTTTTTGATAAGTTAATCCGTTGTGACTTATGAAAATCGACTTATTACCGATTTACCATTTTAACTCTGTCTAATAATCATTGATATCTCTTTCTCCCATCATCATCGCCTCTTCTCCCATCTTTCACCTATCCTAACAGATACGTTCTCCATCTACAAATCATAGATTTCAATTACTTGGATTTGGGATTTGTCGTTCATTTGATGGTACATATGGAACCCAAAGTCATCTATCAATTTGCGCATCACCGTAACTCACTATTCTGTTTGCCTCGTCCTTGTTGTCGCTGTTGAGCAGCGTTTTTGCAATTTGTTTGTACAAAACTGCGTTTCCCGCTTTGTTTCTCTGAAAAAATCTATCGATTTGTCGTGTGTTGAATCGAATCTATAGTTATGGTTTCCATCTTATTCTTCTGATATGCGACGACTCTATATTGTTTCACATGAATTCGAGTTTTAGAAACCTTCTCGCCACCACGTTTCCGCTGTCCCGCTTCAGATGCTAGAGCCACAAGYCGTGCAAAACGGAAACGTGTATTTGAACAAGCAACACCTGCAGACCAACCGTGGGAGCTCGATTTGAATGAGAAGAGCAAAGGTGAGGGCGATGAAGATGAAGAGAGGGGTGTTGTGGAGTTTCAGATTTTGCGACATTATTACTTGAAAAGTCGAAGGGATAAAACGTCTTCTTTGTCCACATCATCCAAACGGTGTCATACCGAGCAAAACAGGCAAGGAATTTTTTTTTTTTGATCACGTCTGAAGGTGTTCTAGCGTGGGAGAACCAGTCGTTTAAGACTGCGATCATGACATCTTTAGATAGAGTAGAAAGAAAAGTAGGGAAAATATAAAGGAATTGAATTGATAGCTTGCAGAATTTTGTCTGTGAATCAGTTACAGAAGCTCTACGAATTCATAAGGAATGCCAGGTGCCAGGTATGGTAGTGGGGATCAATTCATTGATTAGATCAAAATTCTTTGTTCCCAGCATGCTTGGCTGCTTTTGGTTTTGATGTGGATAATTAGGATGAGAATTTTCAACCAGATTATTAATGATATTGGTATAAATGTTTGTTAATTATTCTTATTGATACTAATTATCAATCTTATTGATATAAATTATTAATCTTATTGATATAAATTTTTGTTATAGATATTATTATAAATGATGAAAAATAAATTTTTTATATGTTAAAAAATCAAATAAGTTAATAAGCAATCCCAAACACTCCTATAAGTCAATAATATAGAAGACTGTCCTTTTTGGTCATTTTACAGATATAAGCAAAATTTGCCAAACACTAAAAAACAACTTATCAGCTTATTGCAGTTTGATACCGCTATAAGCTAATCCAAACACTTTTTACAAAACTCCAGTTTGATACCGCATAAGTTAATAAGCACTTTTACAAAAAAGCATAAGTTGTTTTAAATAAGCAATCCCAAACACCCCTTAAATAATGTTACCTTATTTCATCAAATATTCATATGCCACTTTATACACACAAAAAATAAAAAATAAAATCATATGCCTACATAATTCCAACTTTAGTGTGAATTCTCCGACTAAAAGACTAAATACTATACTTACATAAGCAAAAACTCATACTGCGATTATTCTTATTGAATGACGCCTCAAATCAACAAAAATGCAATTCACCCCCACAAAATTATAACTGAATAGAGAGAAAGAATTGAGAGATTAATAGAGAAATTCATATGCTTGTATAATTCCAATTTTAGTGTGAATATCTCCTATTAAAAAACGAAAATACTATACTTACATTAACAAAAACTCATATCATATTTCTCTTATTGAATGACGCCTCAAATAAACAAAAGTGTAAATCACCTCAAAAACTGAATAGAGAGGAAGAATTAAGACGTTTTTTTTTAAACAATGTTACACTATTTCTTCAAGGATTCATATATCACTTTATCCACACACAAAAACTCCATATGCCTACATAATTCCAACTTTAATGTGAATATTTCCGATCCAATTTTAGTGTGAATATCTCCAATTAAAAGACGAAAATACTATACTTACGTTAACAAAAACCCATATCATATTTCTCTTATTGAATGACGCCTCAAATAAATAAAAGTGCAAATCACCTCAAAAACTGAATAGAGAGGAAGAATTGAGAGGTTTTTTTTTCTTAAACAATGTTACACTATTTCTTCAAGGATTCATATGTCACTTTATCCACAGACACACAAAAACTCCATATGCCTATATAATTCCAACTTTAATGTGAATATCTCCGACTAAAAAAAGAAATATTATACTTACATAAGCAAACCCATACTATGATTTGTCTTATTGAATGACACCTCATATCAACAAAAATGCAATCGCATCCACAAATTTATAACTGAATAGAGAGGAAGAATTGAGAGATTAATAGAGATGTTATCATAGAGATGTACCACAAAATTTGTCACGCCCCGATTTTATTTTATTTTTCTTTCCATTCGAGTGTCGTGACGTCATTCTTAATAACTTATGTCATGAACAAAAATACGAACTTAAAATTTCAAACA